AGAGAGAGAGAGAGAGAGAGAGAGAGAGAGATGATATATACACATGTATATTTAGTACAATAATGCGTTTACCTACAAATTATGTAGCCTGTATAATGTATTATAGGCCGATGTACGAGATGTAGATCTAGATCCATATGTCGGTGGAACAAGACAAAACATCTGTTCTACAAACGTAGTACACTTCAGATTGCTGCTTATAATTCTCAACCGTCTTCAATGAAACTGTTTTTCAGTGGTCTCTAGTTTATTCATAGAATCCAGATAATCTTAAGTTAAGTCAAAGATTAGTCTTCCAGCATTCACAACTGTAAAGAAGGGCTGACCACATAATAATTTAATAGACTATCTTTAAAAAATACTCGTATTTTTGTCATCGACATGCTCTTTTTTAGGACTGTGTTTGAATGAATTTTATGGAAACAGCCTATACATGTATACTTTAGCAGAGGTATATAAGTAAAAGCAATATTTTTAAAAAATTAATTGTCAAAATTTGTGTTGTGGGTGCATTTCACATCAGGTGTAGGCCTAATCTAAATATTCAAACTTTATCTTCTCACCTTTGCTTATGGTATGACAAATAGGGTACATATCTACTTGTTTTGTTGTTATTGTTGTTGTTGTTTGTTTTTTTAATGAGATCAAGCACGCTCACTTTCAGTTTCAGTAAGGCCCTACGACAGAATCCAGAAGTTGGCCGAACCAAGAAGCAGAGATCTTGAAAAAAAATGCTCTCCATGTACGTTAAAAAGACAGAGGATATGCATAAACTCGTTGAGTTTTTCAGACAAGCAAGTGTTACGATCAAGTCAGCACTTTTATCTTATTTGGCTTAATTTTTAGGCTGATGTGGTTCTAGAAAATAGGAGTCAGTCAGCTAAAATTATTTCGTACGTAAGACGCACCCGGTCATACTTTTTGACGTCATTGTTCTGCTTCTTCGAACAACAGCCAATCACCGCTGTGGTTAAAATGGGGCTCTCAAAAATAAGCCAATGAAATGCGAAAGGATATTCCGTTGAATACGATGCCTTCATGTCGGCCATTAGGTAGTACGAAGCCCAGTGGCTGTAAACAAAATGACTAGCCACCGGATAGGAGTAAACCTTCGGGTTTCAGGAAATTGTGATCAAGGTGCAAGGAAATATATGGAAGACAATCATGTGATCAAGTTTCTGAAAAAGGATACAGATGATTATGAATTTGCTTATTTCGGTATCTTTGATGGTCACGGTGGACCCGAAGCCTCAGCATTCTGCAGAGACAATCTTCTGAATGAAATCACCAAATATGATGGATTTTGGACAGATGACGACGAGCAAGTTTTGTCGGCGATTCGGAAAGGATTTTTGGATACACATAATGCGATGTGGAATGTTTTGGGTGAGTGTTTTTTTAATAATCCAAATGCATACTGTGAAGTAGCCTACGTGTTTTGTCTGTCAGTTCGCTGTTCGAGACCGCTAGCCACTGGTCTTTCCCTTTTTCATTTTCAATCATTTCTTTATCTCAGTTTCTACAGATTAGAAGTAAAACCTAAATAAGACGCAAGCAAGGCGGCAGTTTTATCAAATATATTCCATATACTGTTTGGGGACTGTATATGACCTAAGCACAAATTTAAAAGTCTTATTTTCATGCATCAGTTCAGACGTGTGCAGGTGTCTTTGATTTTCAAATTCAGACGACTGCCCGCGGCCGCGCGCCGCGAACAACACTGACTGGCTTTGTTTTGACTGCCCATGTGGGTGACCTACGAGGGTCAGTGTGATTTTTAATGTCTGAAACATTTTTAAAGGGGTTTTCTGTTACTAAGAGATATAATTTGTTATTTTTATAAAACAATGGCGTTGATATTTGGCCCGACAGAGATTGATGGTTCGCACTGTCAAACAGGATTCAGTACACCCTTTGCCCTTCCTGCCCCCAACGGCGAAAGCCACTGACCTACTTTCGATGGGTGTTGCTTGTCTCTCCCTGTTTGCTTCGCCTCTCCGCGAAGCCTGATTTCAGTTTTCGACTTGCTGGTACATGTTGAGAAATGCACCTTCGATTTCAGTGTCATGTCTATTTTTATAACGGATTGTGGAGGGTTGTCTGCCTAATGCTGAACTTGTATCCCCGATGTATTAGCTGGATTCTAGGTCGAGATTCTAGATCTAGAAATCTAGTCTGCTGTGCACTCTTTCTGTCTAGGAGGTGACGTCCGTTTCTTTAGGTTGCCCCAGTGCCAGTTCCAGCTCTAGGGCCTCCCAATCCTAGCTGAACTAGATCTAGATCTAGATCTAGAATCTAGATCTAGATTTAGCCGTTTTAGTTTTAGTAGTAGCAGATCTAGATCTAGTAGATCTTGTAGAAGTAGTAGCTGTAGTAGCAGTAGTAGTAGCAGCAATCAAATAGATTCTAGATCTAGATCTAGTACAGTATAGTATAGTAGTATAGTGCGGAAATTCGTTGCGAAAATTATTGTCAAATATTTCCTAACCTAAACTATCGAACTTTAAATGTCTTCAGCTTTTGCAAAAGGTGGCGTCAATTGCCACCGAGTGATGTGGTGGCAATTGACAAAAATTGACGGTAGTGTCAATTGCCACCGAGTGAAGCGGTGTCAAGTCTGAAAACAACACACTATCTTTAAAAAATAGCTTTCTATTCATTAATGTGTGTCTGTTGGGCCAATTTGTTCTCTACTAATTTCATTGGACGAAGCATCTAGTCTAGAGCTACAGTACCAACTTTGCGTGTTTTCAATGAGACGTATGCCTAGATCTAGGATAGCCTTAGCTTACACTTTAGGTATAGAACCAAAACAGGCAATTCTAGAAGTAGAAGGTCACAAACGCAAACTCAAGCAGAAATTCATTTTATATCGGGGCACATAAATCGGGGGGACGGGGGTCAGGAAAACACACACACACACACAGAGGGACAGAGAGGCGAACGCACAACACCGAGCTCTCGAGCACAATAGGCTAGATCTACTCACCAGCGCAAAAGAGCTCCAATTTACTCGGTGGCAATTGACACTGCTGTCAATTTTTGTCAATTGCCATGGCGTCACTCGATGGCAATTGACACTACCGTTGCAAAATATAATGACTTGTATCAATTTGTCTTGATAAAAAATATCGATTCTAGGTCAAGTTTACAGTTACAGCTGGAACGATGTTGCACTTAGAAGCAAGTCTGTCATTTAAAAAAAACCGATGTGACTATTCCTCCGAAAGTTCGGGAAAATAAAGTTGAACTCTATTTCTCCTAACGGTTTCCGATCTCGAGATTTAAAAAAAATTTTGCTAGATTTAGGCGTCATCCTTTCATTCTGTGAGAACTGGGAAGCAACATTTTTTGCATCGAATTCAATTTTTAGAGGGAGAGATTTTTAAATGTCTGAACATTCAGATACTTCAGTTGTAGTTGGGGCAACGTTCCCGCACTATAGTTCATTTGAAAATACCTTCAAAAGGTACTGCGAGAAAACAAGACTGCTCAACCTTGGCAGTCACCCAGTAAAAACTAAAATCCTTCATGTAAAAAAAAAATCCCTCTTCGCCTCCCCCCCTCCCCCGTTCTCACCTTACAGACACACTCACACACACTCAAACCCATTTGCACTCCATTCGCTTATAATTATCAACAAAACTCGAGAACGGAAACGGTTAGGAGAAATAGAGTTCAAGTTTATTTTCCCGAACGTTCGGAGAAATAGAGCCAGCCTAAAAAAAATGGCAAATTATGCGAATTGAACGCATCTGGAGAAACTTTAGTCTAACTAATCTTATCTTTAGTGCATAAAAGTGTTCACTATAAAATTGAATTACTTGTATCAAGTTTTGCCTTTAAAACACAATACATGAAGATACAACGGGCACCTAGCACACCTCTGTGATTGGCCCAAATATAGATGTGTGTGTGTGTGTGTACAACTTTGAGGAGAAGGTAAATTTATGCAACGAGAATTGTTGAGATTGTCTATAACACATTTACACAAATTAATATTTAAAAAAACAAACAAACATGGCAAGATCTAGTCAACAGTCACTGGCAAGGGAAACCCAAGAGTCATGGGGAACCCCCGAAGACGACAAAAAGAGATGGTGGAAATACGTTGATCTATATTTGGGCCAACCACAGAGGTATGCTAGGTGCTCGCTGTAACTTCATGTCTTTAAAACTAAAAAGTGTCTTTGGTGAGTTGTGATGTAGGCCATTAAAATAGCCTGCGTATTGTATGCAAAATGTGCTTGAGAAGCGGGAAGTGCTGTGAACAATCCCATTTTACGCTTGCCGGAGATTTACAGTTAAGTGTTTAAAATATAAATTTATGAAGAAAAGTTGTTTAGTTTAGCCTCAATCTTACGGAAAAATATTATGATTAACTTTGATTAAGTTAAGACAAATTAATACAAACTGTTGTGCAAAGTATGGGTGAAATTGATTGATTCACCAGTTAAAGAGAGGACAAGTTGCGCCATCCAGTTTTTTACAGCACCACAGTAGGGTGTATTCTATTTCACGGTAAAAGTTGTATTTTCACTCCTGCAGACAGGTATGCATTGCTTTGGGGGTCAGACTGCAATAATTTTTGCTGAAGACCACAATATGACGAGCCTAAAACTCTCAAATCAATTAGTTTCAAGAAAATTTCAAATCTCAATGCAGAATGTATTGGGGGGAAACCCGAAAATGGGGGGGGGGGGGGGGGGGTGATTAGCCCAGAGCATGGAAATACAACACAATTAGGCTAGTTTGATATACACAGTACTAGCTGAGCCCCCTTTCGATGAAAGGAATGATCGGTGCCTTAACATCAACTGAAAGTCTTTGGCCTACTATATTTACACTACTGGAATGGAGCAATAAATCTTGAGAGATGCAAAAAAGCGTGAAGACCTTTTTCGAAGAGAGGTGGGGCTGCCGATCGTTGGATTCACAACCCTTCCCCTCACCGGCTCCAAAGGCTTGTAGGGCTTAGGACCTAGGCACACGCAGAGGGCTCGCATGTCGAGGAGAGCGTTAAAAATAGCACAGCTACCTGCTTCTGTGAAGGGGGGAAGGTGGTATTTTACTGACCTTGCCTTTTTCTGTATTAAAAAAAAAAATTATTATTTTGTCTCAAGTGCACCTCAAAGGACACTGACTTTAGACTTGACCTTTACGTCGGCATAATAAGTAATTAGTTTGACGATTTCATGTTTGTGTTCGAGCTTCGCATAATTTTCTTACAAAGATAAAGAAGAAAAAACGGGACCGCATGCTCAGTTTGACAGATGCATGATTTCGAGTAATCTGTGTTCAACATCTCCGGGTTATACTGTAGTTCGAATAGAAACCATCAAGTATATTTTTAAAAAACTCTAAATTTGCAATGAACACATAAGTAAATATTTGTGTAACACAGATAAAAATGAATAATAATTTTTTAGGGCGTTACAAAACCTGAGCATGAGACGGTAGTGAAAGTATGATGAGTAAAAGAATCACTTTCCCTACCATCTATCTCATGCTGGGGGATTTCAGGGGGATATGTTCCCCCCACCCTCTCTGTATTTCCCTTACTCTAATTTGATAAGTTTTGCAAATTTTAGATTTTAGGTTTTCTTGAAAACAGCCAATTTGCCATTGTTTTAGTTGCTAGATGACTATACATTGTGATGCTTGTTCACAAATAACAATTGTGTGTTCTGAAGACAAAAATACCTCTGTTTAGAAGCAGCAAAGAGTATACGTAATAGAAGGTGAGCCAATTAAAAAAGTGTCCTCAAAATTCAGTGGCGCCCTCTTCGCAAATGTGCACCATTTGCAAATGTGCACCATTTGCGAACAGAGTTACCCTACTTGTGTGAAAAAAAAAGGGAGACTAACAAGTTTTTGAATAAATAAGAATTCAAATTTCGGAAGAACACTTTTATAAAATGGTTACGCTGACAAAAAAAAACCCTCTTCCGGAGGAGGTGACTGTTTTCTTCGTTTAATTTGACTTTAGAATGAGAGGCGAGAGGTCATTAAAATTTAAAAAACCCTAAAACTCCGCACTGAACGAACCCGAACAGCTGATTAACAGCTGTCGATCTGCGCTCGCAAGTGGGTGCTATTCCTATTCTTCTTTGGAGAAACGAAAGAGAGCTTCAAGACAAAGACTGCAGCGCCATCTGAGCCATTGCGCGGACTTCCGCTGACACTTTTTTGGCTGAGTGGACCATCTTGTTATGTACCGTCTTTGGAAGCAGTGCATCTGTGTGCATGTGTGAAAGTAAATATTTACCTATATTTAAAAAAAAATGTATTAGATTTGCATTTTTTAGCAGTTTCAGTGGGACATTAATATCTTGTTTTATTGATAATTGACCCAAAACGAATAGTAAAGTAACCAGGGGGGCTTTTGTGGCCTAGAGGTTAAGGTGTTGGCCTCTCATTCAAAGGTCCCGGGTTCGATTCCGGGTAGCGACAAAAACATTTTCTTCTCTAAAATTGTCTCCTTTCACATCGTTTCCTGATCTCTAACAATGTTCTGTTGTCTGCTTTCATTTCCACTTTCTGCCCCCACCCCCTCACCTCCTTTGCCCCCTCCTCTGGGCTCCTGACTCTTTCTGCAGCCTTTCTACTTCTACTCCTTGGCTCCTCCTAACTGCTGTCTTTCTGCCACACCCCTGATCTTCTGGTAGGAAAGATCTACACCTAGCCTTCTCGGACAAGGGTGAAAAATCTTGGAGGGCACGTGTGCAAGTTGCGCACGTTTAAGATCCCTTGGTGGTCTAAAATCGATAAGAGTAGGCTTCGGCCGCCACCCGGGCAAAATTCAAAATATCCTACCAACGAAAAAGTATTAGGTGTGTCCCGCGCGCTCATATGACCTTATGCAGTTGCAAGCGCCGTAAAACCCTATACTAAACAAACAAAACAAACAAAAGTAACCAGACTACTGAGAGCCTTTTCTACTTCTATTTTGAGACTTTCAATTAAATGTGAAACCACTGTCTCGAGAAGATGTAGCTGAGCGAGAAACAATAAACTTAAGGTTCCAGCAAGAGCTTGTCGTGATGAAATATACTGGTTTGGTGCACCTTTGCGTTAGTATTCATCAACAAAAAGCCAGTTTGCAATGTCTACTGTTATTTGTGATTCACATAGCATGCTAAAATGATTATCCTTAAGGTTGGCGCAGCATGTTTAACTCTCCTAGTGTTGGTGGCCAATTAAATTAAATTGGCCGCGAGTTTGTCTGTGATGTTGCGTCAGATTTAATTGACTGTAATTTGAGTTGCTATTATAATGCTATTTCGGTCTTTTAAAATGTCACTGAACATCTGTATTTCAACTCCTTCACAAGTGAGCTTTTTCCTACATTCTACTTTCTGAAAATGAAATAGGTTTTGATGGCCTTTTCTTGCTTGGTTTGCATACCTTGTTCTCGCATATTTTCAGCATTTAATAATGTGGTGAAATATAATTTCCCTGGTACCACAGGCTCTTCAATACATAAAGGGCCTAATTGCAATTTGGATGTGAATGCTATTTGAAATTCTGTTATTCATTTAAACTACCTTTTTAGGGTTCTTGAAAGTGGTAACACTCACAGATGAATCATGTAACGGGATCATTGACACTCTTGAAACAATTTCATGTCACTGTAGGCTTACACACTTTTTTCCGGACTGGTTAACTTGCAACTTTTTAAATTCTTAGAAGGGGTGAAATAGTAACTACAAATTCTACAATCAATGAATTTTCATTGCCCACACAGTTGTGACAGCATGCAGAAAAACTATCTGGTTAATTTTTATTTCACTGAAATCAGACTGAACAGCTGGATCTTGAAGTACCATTAAAAAAAACAACCTGTTTATGGGTGGATATATATATATATATATACAGTCGAACCTGCCTTAACGGAAACCTGTATAAAACGGAAACCTGTCTTAATGGAATCTCCTCGTTCCCCCCTTGATATATTCCTCTTTAATTATCTGTATAAAACGGAAACCTGTCCAACGCGGAAACGGAAAGAAAAATCCGCTCCCTTCCGACGGTTTCACCTGTCTAAGACGGAAAATGCTTTGCCCGCTCAGTCCTGATTTGAAACAAAACTCGCAAGTTTAGTTCTGTCGGCTATAAACTTAACGCAATGGCCATGCCGCTGGACGAGTAAGGGGAGTAGGGGTGCAATTAGGGGGTAGATGTTACCCCATCATGTGAGCCCTGAGCGATGCAGATGGTTAGTGTAGTATGGGTGTGGAATCTCACAACTGCCCGTGAGAGTGCTCGAGTAGCGAGCCGCTACGGAAACTTTCCTGAGCAGCCAGAAGCCAGAGGTGTGAAATTAGACTGACCAATGCCAGCCGAGAAAAGCGTTCCTCGAATCGTTGTTACAATGATGGCAATGAGGGGTGGGGCTAAGGGTGGAAGCAATGGAGATGTTCAAACTTTTCTGTTTTTAATAGGTCAAACAGTGGTCCTACGAAAAGCAAGCACTGGTGGTAATTGGATAGGTAAAACTGACGCATGTCATTATCAGACAGGATAGCAATTGAGAGGTTTGAAGTTTTGACCACTGCTTGCCGATCGGACAAGCGATCCTTGATCCCACCGGCTGGGCCTTTGACCCCCCCCCCCCTAAATTCCCCTGTCCAAGACGGAATTTCCCCCCCGCTCCCTTGCGATTCCGTCTTACACAGGTTCGACTGTATATATATTATAATGCAGTCGAACCTGCCTTAACGGAACTTTGTGAGTGTGTAAGACGGAAACCTGCCTTAATGGAATCTCCCCGCCCCCTGCCCAACCCTTGATAAACTCTTTAATAATAAATAAAGGAAATCTGCCAGACACGGAAACGGGAAAACCCCCCGCTTCCTTCTGAGGGTTTTTACCCGTTTAGGACGGAAAGTGCTTTGCTCACTCAGCCCTGATATGAAACGAAACTCAAGGTTGGTTCCGCAGGCTCTAAACTTTACACCATACCGTCAGGCGAGGAATGGGAGTAGGGGTACAATTTGGGGGTTGATCATGTTACCCCAGCCATGTGAGCCCTTAGCAGTGCAGATGGTCAGGGTAGTGTAGGTGTATGAAATCTCAAGAGTGCCAATGAAAGTGCTCGAGTGATGCACATGCACGGAGACATGGATAGTCAGAGGCCAGAGGTGTGAAATCGAATTGAGCAATGTCTGCCGCTCTGATCCTACGGCCAGCCGATTTCCTCGAGTCCTTGTGTGTTACATGGCAGTGAGGGGTGGCATTGATTGACTGTGCTTATTAATTACACTGATGTGTAGGGCTATGGGTGGAACCAAAGGAGATGTTCAATGATAATCGTTTTTGTTTTAATTAATAAGTTACAACAGTGGTCCGGTCCTATGAAATCCAAGCACTGGTGGCTATAGATTAAGTAAGACTGACACATGCCATTTTCAGAGGATAGCACTTGAGTGAGAGGTATGAAGTTGTGACCACTGCTTGCCAACAGGACAAGCGATCTTTCATCCCACCGGCAGGGCCACAACTCCTTCCATCTCCCCCTAAATTTCCCCTCCCTGAGACGGAAAACGTCTATGATGGAATTTTTTGTGTGGCTCCCTTGCGATTCCATCTTACACAGATTCGACTGCAAAAAAGCTTTTCATTGATTTGGCATGACTTTCTTTTGGCAGAGTGCAAACTGAAATTCTTTGCTTTTAATAATTAAAACACTGCACAGTCTGTTGTCATTTTATACATCTTCTTCATGTACTGCACTGGAGACAGCGTTCAGTCCTGTCTGTTTTGTTTTCTTTGATTGTCTTGGATCACCATCATTCATATTTGAATTTGCCTTACAGCTTGCTTTTCCCAGCAGCTCTTTTTCCATTTCTCTTTACTTTCTTCATTTCTTCCTATCCCAAGTGATTTTTCTCATTTTGTGGTTACAATTCTTACTGCTCTCAAGTATACTGTGCAATAAGGAAAACATAATTAAATTATTTATTTAGCTTTGACGCCATCCTGTGGCCTGACCATAGATAGTAATGTTTTTATGAACGGTGCATATTCAATTAATACATGATTCAGTATAATTTTCATCTAAAAAGAAACTAGCCAAAGCCGACAACTGTACAATGACTTCGGGCAATGATGTGTTTTTTGTTTATATTTTGTTACGTTTATTATTTATAATTACTTTGCATTGTAAAATGTCTACTTTTAAGGCTCCGATGTGAGCATCAAACCAAAAAGACATTTAAAGAGTTCTTAAATTGATGAAAGAAGTTCCAGTTTGTAGAAAACATCTCATTTTTTTAGACGAATATATGTTCTGTTGGGTCAAGGGTTAAACGGTTAGTATAAGAATGTATAGGTCAAGGGGGTTAGAATGTGACACCACTGACCCTGTCCTGTATGTTAACTAACCTGTTTGCATTATTGGTAGGTTATCATCACATTAATGCAAGCAAAATTAGTACTATGGTTATGGGGCCACCGCCTTACTTTCAATCTATGGACTTGAATTTTGTGCTAGCAACAGTATTTTTTTTTATTCGTGTTTTCCTTCAATGTATGGACGTTTGACCATTTGTATCACAGACACTTGGCCCAAGACGGTGACAGGTCTGCCGAGCACAGCGGGGAGCACTGCCACTGTAGCAATCATCAAACAGGGCAAACTCTATACAGGACATGTTGGTGATTCTGGCCTGGTGCTGGGGGAGAACGATGCCTACGCCACTGACCAGTTTCCTGTGCAGGCCATCTGTGTCACAAAGGTTTGGGAAGTTTCCATTTTTACCTTAAATTTTCAACGTTTGAACTTTGACCCTTTTATTATAGCCTCACTCACTTTTCTCTTCTGTTATCCTAAGTTATAGTACCTCCCCCCAGTTCTCACACATTTTGTGACTCTTATATTATTATATGAATACTTTCTCAACTTTTTGAGCGTTTTATCAAATTGAATCTGTGAAAATTTGGTGCTAGTCCACTTGACAGTTTACCACACTGTTTCTGTTCTGCTAGTACTAGATGATCTACCACTAGTGATGATCTTCTAGTGTACTAACCCCAATACTTCACATTTTCCCTCTGTATTGATTTATACAGGCTGGGAACTCATTGGCTGTATTAAAATTTTGTTGGTGGTTGCAGTTTGGTGTGTTTGGATCCAATGGAGATAATGAAGACTGCATGCTGGCTATACTTAGAGTTCTACAAAGTTATGAATTGTAAAATGAAAAACACAGGGAGTATAGAAAATTTTTTATGTCATTTATTGTATTTTCATAATAGTTTCCCCCTGCACTCCAATTTTTAAATACAGTGGAACCTGCCCTGACGGCCACCTGTACAAACGGCCACTTTCCATTTCCCCCCTTGCGTTTTTTTCGATATAATTTAACTGTGTAAAACGGGCACCTGTCCAGCCCGGCCGCGGCCTCCATATTTTAACACACAACCCCTATCACACTAAACAATAACACCTGTCTTAGACAGCCACCTTAGTGACTCCATTACGTTTTGTCATAAATTGTGCTTTGGCCCCTGGTGTTGTTGGCGAGCCGTCATAATTCAATCACCTGTCCTTGTTGTTAGGTAATCCCTCCAACTGATCATGTTGCTTAGGCCCCTCCCACTGTTGACCAATAGGTAACAAATTTTCAGCTGCCATTGAGGTAAGTGTGTGATCCCACATAACCTATAAGCCCCGCCCAGAACCCATACACAAATCGTAAGTGAGATGAGTGGTCACTGTTTACCCAGTCTGTAACAAAGTAACAAAGGACGTCAACATGAACTTGAGACAGAAGCGTCGCTCGTTCTCCGAGTTGTGGCGACCCATGTGTTTGTTTTACCATAGCACTCGGTCCTCCCCGTCTGACACATTTAGTTTTATTGTCACCCTTGCACGAAAGCAGCAACAAAAGAAAAAAAAAGAAGGAAAAAACCCAGCGAAAACAATAACAACAACAATGCGGCTATCTTCGGTTGGGACCTCAGAAATGAAGGGTTTGTTTTCTTCATTTTGATCAGTACTGCCTAAGACGGCCACCTGTCTTATGCCACTTTTCTCCTTGACAATGGGTGGCGGTCTTACACAGTTTCGACTGTAGAATGTATAATATATACTGTATTTGCTCTGAATTTATAAAATGTGTTTTAAAAAAATCTTTCGTAGGAGCATAAACCTGATGACCCAGATGAGCGTCTTCGCATTGAGGATGCTGGGGGTGAGGTGATCAACAAGAGTGGTGTACCGCGTGTGGTGTGGAGCCGACCCAAGACGAATCACAAAGGCCCGATACGCCGTAGCACACAGATTGACCAAATTCCTTTCCTCGCTGTTGCTCGCTCGCTAGGTGAGTAAGGGCTTTTTTTTTAAAATAGGTTGGAAAAACTTGCTTAATTGTAGTCATATTACATACATAAACCATGTGCACAAATATCATAGATGCAGTTATGGCATTTCTGTTGCCCTTTTGTTACAAAACTTAGGGGGGCCTTGAGCCATTATGGGTTTTGTGCGTTTAGAGTAGCTGTAGTCCGTTTTAGTAAAAGGTGAGCAAATTTTTTGTTTGTCTTCTTTGATTTGCCTGTTGTATGTTAATTATTGCAGTCGGATTCCTTCTTTTCTTTGTACGTTAACTCTGTGGTGTCATTTCTAGACCCTATTTGTGTTGCAAGCTGCAAGTGCCATAAAACTCTTATTAAAACTAAAACAAAACATTCCCAGGTGACTTGTGGAGCTATGATTATTACACTGAGACGTATGTGGTGTCCCCTGATCCTGATGTGGCCGTGCTCCGCCTGGACCCGACCAAACATCGCTGCCTCATTCTGGCCTCGGACGGCCTCTGGAACATGCTCACTCCGGAGGAAACGGTCAACATGGTGATGGACTTGGAGACACAGTTTGAGCAGAGAATAATCAACGACCCTGTAAGTGCTTTAAAAAAGATGTTTTAAACATTTTATTGTTGAAATTATCCTAGACAGCTTCCCATTGTCAAGGAGAAAAGTGGTTGCCCTGGACAGTTTCATTATATATTGCAGAAAAAATGCAGAGGGAGAAGTGAGAAGAGATCGCTTCTTCGGATGATTGTCGAAGACATGTAGCTGTTAAGGCAGGTTTGACCATCTGGTTTTTGCAGTTTTAAAATTTGTCAGTGCAGATATTCAGTCATATAGTGGAGAAAGTTATTCTCAATGTTTTATTTTGATAGTTTTCATTTTATTATTGAATAGAATGTCTTTGAAGCTTGGCTTCTTGTACATTATGAAAGGAAATAGAATGAGGTGGTTCCACATAGTGTGTTAGATAAGAATGATAAGGATCACCATTTTCTATTATCACCACTAGCATATTTGTGTGTGTTTGTAAGTACATGTGTGTGTTTGTTTATCAGGGCTCAGTGAACATGCACAGGGCACAGAAGTGTGTCATAACCTTTTCAAGCATGTGTCACCTGGTGTTGAGTTTCATAGTTTTTTTTCCTTATTTTTTAAACTTTTATTTTGTTTTTCTCTTAAAAGGAAGGAAAGTGCTGAAAATATATATATATATATATTATCTTTGTCACTTTGAAAAAGAAGTTTTTCAGCAGTCAGCTTGTGTGAATTCAACAGTACCACTATTGATTGTGCAAATGAAAAAGTGCAATCACTCTTAAGTTGGATTCCATTTTTCTTTGGCTATCACAACTGTCTTTCTTGATGCTATAATTTGTTCTTACTGATTAGAAATTTGTACGGAGAATCTCACTGTCTTGTCGCATGGGTAAATATCTCATTGTTTGCTCACATCATGTAGTTATAGAATTGTACTTTGTATTTTCAGAATGTTGCTGTCAGCTTTTGGAGTAACCCGGCCGAGCGTCTAGTGGCCAGAGCACTGAACAAGTGGCGATCAAAAGCCCTGAAGGCTGACAACACTTCCTGCGTGGTTGTGCTCGTTGACCCATTGGGACCCTCCAAACTGACGCTACTCAAACGGAAGAGACAGGAGCTGCTTTCGGGGGGAGAAATTACGCCCAGTCAAATCAACAAATTCTCTTCACTGCCGACAACATCTCAGATCAAGACCCTCGCAACGACCAAGACTCCGGCAGAGACAGACGCCATGGGCAAACATCACAACCGAAATGCCAACTGCAGCTTGAGCGACAGCCACTTGCGGATCACAGATGACTCCATGATTCAAGGATTGGACGAGCAAGATCCTCAAGGGGGCAGCACTGTGACCAAAAGATCATATGGAGGGCAGAGAGCTTCGTACAACCCGGGCAACGAGAGTGTCAATGACAGTATTCAGTTCATCCCCGAGGACAAACCGTGGAACTTGCGACACTCCTTGAGGAAGTCAGAAAGTGGGAACATGTCCCACAACGCTAGCTCCTTGAGACACGAGACTTCTATGATGAAGAAGATGCATCCATCGTCTCACCCACCCGTCAGCAGGATGGACACTTCCCACGGGCCCGAACGTTTTCGCAGGGGAGACGATTCTGTTTTCACACGTCTGGTGGACAGCAAGGTGACCTCGGGTATCCCTGGTGACAGAGAGATCTTGAAGGATCTCAAACGGGGCAAAGCTTCTCACAAATATGACAGCTCTTTCTCTGCACACAAAAATGTGATGAGTCGCCTAATTGTGGATGAGCACATGGGCGGTTTTGATGAAGACGTCGAAATTGAAAAAGATTCCGACTCGGAAGATGATGAAGACTCAATTCCACAGCCTCCACCTTCTACTCCATGCTCCAGTGAGGAAAAGGCTGTGGGGGGAGGTGAGAGTGACGGAGAGAACTCTCTTCATAGTTCAGCGGATGTCACAGATTTGGCTTTTTCTCTAGCGTCAGACGAGAGCCTGGAGTCTCCTGAGACCTCAGTAGAGGAAAGACCCCGCACTCCTCTCAGTGCCCCAGCTAAACTGTCTTCATCTCGCAGTCGCAGGCATCAGATCTCACGTAGTGCGAAAAGAAAACTGGTTGTCAGGCCAGGGAAGAAGGTCAACATTTTAAAACAGGCGGCTGGGACAAAGAGCCGAAGTACTGCAGCCTCATCTCCTCTGTTCAAAGTGCCCTTGAACCCTCAGAAGTCAACAGGGGTCTCCTCACCTCTGACCAGAACCTCATTGTCGCTAAAAAGCTCACAGAAAGTGACAAGTAAAAATGCTTCTACGTGCACCAGTGGTTCGCGCATCACAGCCGAGGGCTCCAGTAAATTTCAGTCCCCACCGAAGCAGGTGTTGAACATGTCAAAGAGCATGAACGAAGTAACGCCTAAAAACAAGAAAGATGCTGTGAGCTCCGTGTCATGCACAGGGCTCACCCCAGACATGAGCCTCCTATTGACAGAAAAGAGGGCTGTTGGGCACCCTGCAGGTTCCGTCAAAGATATATCTACGCATTACTATCCCATCTTGACATCAAACAAGCTGGACTCTGACTGTTCTTCGACCCTGCGCTCAAAGGACGACAACTTCATGGTTGTCGATGATCCTGACCCGACAACTATGCCCTCCGTCAATCCATCGGAGCCACTGAAACAGCTCAACAAGACAGGGCCCATTCGCAAAAGCGGCTCCAAGCGGTGGGGAAATTTTCTGAGGGCGTCCAAACTGGGCTTGGACAACATTTTCCACCACGGAAGCAAGAAAGGCTCGGATAACAAGCGAACATCTGTGTCCACCGGCAAGCTAGAGACGGAGCTGCAGCGGGCCGCCAAAGTGTCGTCGACGTCGGCAAAGAACTCGTCCATGTCGACGTCGAGGCTGGGCGACCTGAGCCTGGTACATCTTCCCGACGTGACGGTCAGCCATCTTGCCGACGTTACTGTGGACGCCTCGACTTTGGATGACGGGGACCTGACCACGTTGTCTGCCCTGTCAGCCGAAGACAGCCTTCTCAGTGCAGCTGTCCTTGGCCGGGACCCGGCCGGTCATCACAGTATGCTGGAGGAGGGGCCTGCCGGGAAGGCAACAAAACACCGCAAAGGTTTCCTTCAGAAAACCCGATTCACCTTGAGCCGTGCCCGGAAGGCCGCCAAAAAGGCGTTTTTCCCTGAAAATCACAGACTTTTTAACCACAAGTCTGCCGGAAAGAAAAGAAAAAGTGATGAGTTTTTACCAAGTCCGAGCTTGAAGAAACGAAGGCATGTTGAAGCTGATTGTTGACCTCTCTTACTCCATTAAAAAAAATTCATGACCAAGACATCTATGGCACATAGATGGATCCATTTTTAAAAGGCAACCTTTAAACAATGTTGTATTTTTAGAAGTTCTTGCAATGTAATATAATATATAAACACCATATGGAAAATATGCAAATGGTTAATGAATGCATTGCTATTGCTTTGCCTTTTTTAGTTTTAATGAAACCTGTTTAAGATACAAGGGTTTTTATACGCTTTTCTTATTTAGAAATACAATTTTATGCTATACTTTCTAATTTTAATGATTAGGTGCTTTAAAGCAGTTTTCATCAATTTTCAAAAGTGCAATATCCTCCTTTTATGTTCTTAAGAAAAGACAAAAATGTAGTCTTCTGTTCAGTTCGATAGGTTAGCTGTATATGAGTTAGGTGAAATGAGGTACAGTTTCATGTGTCTGAAAGTTGTTTACAAATGCTATTTTTTAATCATACTGTAAGAGTATCTTATTTTCAATAGAATGAAAGCTTTAATTTGTTGATTTCTATTTTTTTTTGGTGACTATTGTAAAATTTTAAAAAGAATTTAAGGATTTTAGCCTGACCATAGGGAAATGTAAGCTACACTCTTTACAGTTTTGAAGGTAGATGACCAGGCAGCTTTTAGCACATGTATATTTTGTGAATGTAACTTATCTGCCCTTTTGTTCAATATGTCATTTCCTCTAATTTATTCTTTGAAACACGTGAAACATTCTTGCCTCTATGGCTGTCGTTTTGTAATTAATTTTCAATCACCTAACTGGCACTATTGACTCTGGATAACTTGGAGATCTTTGACCTTTGCTTCAATTGTCCTATAGTGGTGTTGTGAATGCCGGTGTCTGTCATATAGTGGTTAGGTTGTTGCAACTGGGAGAAGTGAGTGGGGAGAATTTTTATTGAGCATCTCGGTCTTTCTCCTGTGATGTTGTATCCATCTCAGCAATCTTTAGGGTGTCAAAATGCATACGTTTTAAGAAAACATTTTTAGACGTTGTAAATTGTGTAGCGTGTTACTCATTCACTGAAAATTTGGCTTGCTCTATGAAAAGTCAGCAGGTAAATCTCACACTGTAGGATTGTAGACACTAGCAGCCTTTCACAGTTTTGTTGTTCGTGTTAGAATTCCTCACTATGTGGGGGTTTAGCATGCACTTTTTCTTGCCTTGAAGTATAGTGGGAACTATTTCTTGCATGGCTTGCTCTATGAATTAATTTAACAAGTTTGGGGACATCTGTTACTTCACTCAGGACTCCATGTCGACTTACTGAAAATGCATTGTGATTTCTGTCCCTAGTTTCCTGGGACTGTTTTGGATTCGGCAGTCAAGAATTTGAGAGCTATATCACATACACTGCACCAAAAGCAGCCCCACTTGATGTAATTCTCTCCATTGTCAGGCCAACTGAAGTTCTATAACATTGGGTGTTCCACATTGGGTTTTGAAAAAGCTAGCAAGCCTGGTACGGTCAAATATTGCTCCATAACAAACAGTTGCAGTGTCAAAATGTTATTGTGGTTCTTTGAGCTTTCAAGCGAGAGTGTGAATGCTGTTTTCTGATAAAAAACCCGGAAACTTTTAAATTGTTTTGTTGAGAAAATGTTCTGGATGGATGCTTGCTTTACACTTTTTAACTGCACATGGCTTTGGTGTTCCATGTCCTTCATCAGGCACTTCTTGAGGGGTTTCACTGTCATTTCTATACAACCATTTCTAGGCTTTTCGTTGTATGTGAGCATCTGTTCTTTTGTGGGTGTGGCTTTTGACTTTTTGTGCCAGTGGGAAGTGCATGTGTAGCCGAACCTGTTTAAGACAACCACTAATTATTGAGGAGAAAAGTGGTTATCTTACACAGGTGGTCCTCTTGGATAGTGTTATATTATGATATAGAAAAAATGTAAGGGGACAATTGGGAAGTGGTCATTCATACAGGTGATTGTCTGGGATACGTGTTCATTAAAGCAGTTTTGACTGAGTTTACCGGCAACAGGACTATAATACCAAGTTTTCATTATGTATAGAAGGGACCTGGGCTAAGGAGGGTGCCAGCTTAATTGATTAGGATATGTTTGTAGGAATTAAATCATGGCCTCAGAACTTTCAAATCGACTACTGTTTTGAGATGTTACAGTGAAGAATCGTGAGACTGAGCTGTTAACATTACACCTTGTTTGTAACACTCTTGACAGATGTTTTCTTGGTGGGGCCACCCCATTTACAAATACCCAATGTATATGTCTCAGATATGTAAGTGAAGGTGAAACCCTCCTTGAAGGGCTTATCAGCAGCTGTGTGTGGTGATTTTTTTATCTCTAATCTTAATCTGAACCTACCCTTTTCCCTGTAATTTTGCATCTTTCTCCTATCCGTCCCTATTGTATTCACTATGACAATTTTTATGATTCATATCGATATCACGGACAATTCTTTGATTGATGTCACTGACAATTTTTATAAATGATTGTGTCTCAAAAAATGTTCTTTACTTTACTTTATACGGGGGGCCCATTGCGGATGGGATCTGGTGGGTCGGGGGTGTTTGGCCCCACCATTCGCCTGAAAACAAACGCGTTTTTTTAGGAAACAAACTTTTTGAGGGCCAAGTCCGGCATGATGGGCTAGTGGCACGATAGCCTCTTTTCACCCTTAATCTGGCTAGTGGCAGTGCTGTGCTACTGACTGAAGTGTCTTTAGGCCATTCCCAAAGGGGATATTAACATGTTCTTAAGCACATTAGATTTGCAAATGGGCTGATTTATCAATGTCATACTCATAATGTACCAAAACAACATAGGGGGATTGGAACAGCTTCTTTTTCTTTCCTCATCCTATCGACATTTTCCTCTACTTCTTTTGTATGTTTGTCACTCTCTTGTGAACTGCTGTTCCGGGGTGCCTTGATAGTCAAAGCAGACTTTGTGCTGTTGAGGCTAGAGAGTTGAGCAGAGTAAGCCTGATTCCTCGTTTGGACTTCTCTGTTGACATCTACCCTTTGGCACTCATTTGACCATATGCAGTTGCGAGCGTCGTAAAACCGTATTAAAACTAAACTAAACGATCCGAACTGATCCCCTAGTGGGCACCCCGTATTAGATTCTTACTTCTTAACTTAATGTGCTCTTTAAATTTAAATATCTTTGAATGAAGAAAAAGTCAATATATATAAGGAAAGTATTATTAGAAAACGCTAGGAGAATGTGGGTTTTATTAGAGCTTTCGAACGGAGAAATGAATTTAGAACCATGATTGCCAGTGTTTGTTTCTGTTCAGATCTGGCACTTTTTGATGATTGTTAGGAAAACTCTTTGTTTGGAGAATAAAAAGATTCTTCTTGGTACAGCTGTAATTGCAACAGCAACCAAAATGTACACAGGCAGTTTCTTTAATGTCATAACTGTCGGGTGGGGACATAAGAATAGAAGGGCTTTTTTGGAGCTTAAGTGTGTGACCAGACTGATAATGGTATGTTTGTCAGACTGTTTAGTTTGTAGCGAAATATACAGTGGAGTCTGCTGAAACTGAGCACTGTCCATCTGAAAACAGCAGAAAGAAAATATCATCCCTGATTATTTTTCTTTTGCTATGACAATTTGGTGGTCCCGTGGGTTTTGGGTAAAGTAAACAGACTCCACTGTAGTCTGTGATTAAAGTGTGAAGTGTGTTCACTTTTCACATGTTTTGTTAGCATTGGAGCAAAGTTTTACAAATTTGTGTGTGCTTTGTGTAAATAGATTATTTTTGAAGGAAACCCCCTCGATGGTTCAGTGTAGGTGTCTTTGATAATACGGTATGGCAGTTTTTTTTTGGTTGTCAAGTTCATACCTCATAGATGAGGCTTTCAAAAAAATGGTTCAGATTGACTGCAATGAATGAAAATTATTTAAAAACTGGTGGGTGATTGCTCAGTGTCCATAATGTTATATATTCTTAACTGTGTGACAGTGAGCTGTTGGTTGAAGTGATGGGAGTTTGAAGTTGTCAGACTGTGTGAAAGGAAACAAGAAAGTTTTAAGGGCAGAATTTTACACTCATTTTGTGACTTGTAATGTAGGGGGGGATGATTCTCTCTAAAGAAAAAAATTATTGAGATACGGTAGGCTACATTAATTTACCCCTTTTTTTGCAAATGCTAATTGATATCGGTTGTGTCTGTGTTCATTGAGGTACTTTCTCATTCTGTTTCCTTCATTTGCGGTGCAGCATAATTAATCATACATTTTTTGTGTGTCAGAAAGAATGCTTTAACAAAATAATTGCTGTCGGTTTTGAATCATACAATTAAGTCATGCATATGTTGATAGTGCAGAGTGAGTGAGTTTTCAAACTTTTATCCATTCCATTCTTTCTTTCAGTTTTTTGGGATTTTTTTTTTCGAGGGGGTGGGGTTGAAATGGTTATGTCATGTTATTGTGTTGTGCTGTCTTTTTTCTCTTCAAATAACTGATACATAAATGGTCTTTTCAGCTTTGTGAAGTCAAACAAATCTAGCCTCTAGGACTCTAGGATGCTCGAACTGTGTGCTGTAGATATCTATGCAAAAGGAAATTATTTTTTCTTACAAATGATTGAAATAAACTGTGTGAAGCATGTATGTCATGTATAATTTTTTAAATTCTGTGTTGAGTATAAGAATGAAGCATTTTTCATGGACTGGTGTGAGTGTGAATGTGTCTGTATTGTATGTATGGTGTTTCTGGGATCTTTGTACGTATGCAAGATCTTGTATTAAGAAACCCCACCCCTGCATTTTCAGATGTTCTAAATGAAATTAAGACTTGCAATTTGAACAGTTGTGGACATTTGTAGACAAAGACTTTGAAAATTTGTATTGAGATCATTTTTAGCACGGTACTGTGTTTGAAAACCAATGTTCATGATTTAAAATTTTTAAACTTGAACTGTGTGCAGTAGATATCTCTATGTAGAGAACACTTCTTATTAATTTGAAAACTGGTTGTATACCATGAAAAGTAGTGTGGGGGTGGGGTGGAACCATGTTTAGGGTCAATTTCAATTCCTCCCCACTACTTATGTCATTCTCAGGTGATGGTCTTTTCTAGTCCTGAAATCAAGCTTTCAAAGGACTGATTTTCCACAGTATTCTATCCACATAAGTGACGTTTTTTTTCGTTTTTTTTTAAAAAACCGTGGCTGTGCAAAATGTGTGAAGAAAGAGAAAAGCAGGTGAAAGCGTGGTTACTTTGTGTATGAGGGAGACCATCCTGACCTATTGTTTTATGATGATCCTTACAGCAAGTGTTCGAACTGGCAATTGTTTGTTTTGTAACTATGTACTTTTTATAGGCAAAAAAAAAATAAAAATAAATAAACGTTCTAGCAAGGGAGTGTTGCTTCTTCGGTCACTGCTGATTCTGTACTCGAATAAATAAATTTTAATGAGTGAGTGTTCACATCTTCTTCTTAGGAATGGTTTTGTTCCTAGTTTTGTCACAATTTAGGTTTTAAAGATTTTGTTGGCAAGTTTTACCGCACCAAGTTATTTTGGTCTTCCAGTTGTTTTATTTGCTTTAAGTTCAGCCTTTTCATGGATGCAGTTTTCTGTCTTTTAGATTTGGGCCTCTTTGTTGTACGTTTTAAAAATTTGCCTTTTATCTCTTGTGGTTGTCCATTTATCTCTTGCGTTTGTTTTGTTTTGCCGAAACTACGGCTGAAATTCTCCAAGAGGGCCACCCATTGTTGAAGAGAAAAGTGGTTTTGTTAAACCAGTTGACGTCGTGGAGAGTGTCAATTATAATTTTATTTTAAAAACACCGCAAGGTGGGAAGTGCCATTTCGACAGGTGTTTGTTGTCTTGGACAAGTAGCAGTTCGGGCAAGTTGGGCTGTACTTGTGTGACTTGCATGTTTAGGATCTTATCTTCTCTTGTGTCGACTGTCCTGCATTTTTCACTTCCAGATCTGACAGCGTCTTTGGCTTTACTTCCGCTGCCTCTTCTTGCCTTCCCCAAAGATGCGTTTGGGTGGGGTGGAGGGGTGTTTCTGTTCCTTCTACTTTTTGTTAAATTTTAACATTTTATTACTCTTATCTTTTTCTGCTTACCAATGTCTGTGGTGTAACTGTTGAACGCTTTACTGTACTGTTGCATGCAGAAGACCATGGTGTGGTTCTCATATGGAGCGATGCCTTTGGGAATATAGTATTCCGTATTCCCTTTAACCTGGGCTAGCCCTGATACTGATCGACACAGTTGAAGCAGCGTGCCTCTCTAATGATCTAAATTGTGTCAATGTGGGTGCAAAACTGAAACATCTATGACTACAATTTTTGATCAGCTTCCTGGCCCAGTGTGGTTGGTTGGCGGGTGCTCTGGTGTGGTTTACTCCTTCTTTCCTATTCTATCAAACCTCTGTTGCTTATATCTGTCATCCATTTTGTGTTACTCTTTGGTGACTCCCCTATAAATCTCTCACTAAAACTAAAACCGAGCACATTGTGACTTATCACACAAACTCCCCATCTACATCATCTAACATTCTGACCTTTTCTATTTTGTCCTCCTAGTTTGTCATATTCAGCGTTATTTTATTCCTTTTGATTGAATTTGGAGAAACATTTGGAAGTCAAAGTTTTACCGTCTAATATGTGGTGACACACACACACACACACACGCTAGCAAAATTTTTCCGAAAGAATTTAGATGGATTTAAAACTTTTTAGATGTTAATTATTTTTTAAATTTTAGTTTAAAATATCAATACTTACTATTCTCAACTGTTTCGTACTTTTTAGAAACAAAGCCTGGATTAGAATATCAGTTTATGATTGGTGTTTTTTCCCTTTTGGTCATATGTGACATGCTATGCAACCCGTTTAAAAAACCCAACTCAAATTGGAGAGTCTTGGGCTTCTCAACTTCTTCGTATCATCATCGTTTAATTATTATCATAATTGTCATCATTATCACTATCACCACCACTTACCATAATCATTATCATCATCGCCACCACCATTATCCTAATAATCACCATCACCACCACTACCTCCATACCTTTACTTCATCATCATCATCATTACATCACCACCGCCACCACGTCATCATCAACATTGTCAATTTTGCCCTATACTGTTGTCAGTTTGCGCCTGACTTGAGTTTTCTCATTTCTATGTTGTGGCCTCAACTTTGTCATGCCAACGCGCCCCAACCCACCCGCTAGTGTTTATGAAAATTATCCTTTCTTCCGTACATTTTTTGTGTGAATCAGTTCATAATGTTGATGGTAGTGCTCAGAATGAAAATCAAACCGAAGTCCAAATTTGTTTGCAGTTATCTTTACATCCACTTTGTGGACTATGTTCTCTTTTTCAACCATCAGTGAGTTGCAGGGAGATTTAACTAATAGTATAGTAGTTTCTGGGAGTGGAGATTCCATTAGCT